GCGCCGGGCGCCGCCGGACAGGCACGGACAGGTCGGCCCTCCGCGCCACCCCCCGGGGGAGGCCAGAGGTGACCCGGCGGGGAGGCAGCGCCGCGGGCCGGGAGGGACCGGGGCTCCTCCAGCGGCTCCCCCGGGCGGGCGGCCCCGGACCGACAGCGGCCGCACGGCAGCGCCGCGGCCTCCGGAGGGAACCGCTCGCCCCGCACCCAAGCGGAACCCGAGGCCCCGGCTCGCGTTCCCGGGGGGCACTTCCCAAGGCGGCCCGCGCGCCTCTGCCCCACGTGACCGAGGAGCGCGCCGGAGGGAGCAGTGAGCATGCGCCGCTGGCAGGCGACTTCCGGGAGAGCGGCGGGCTGAGCAGGGCGGGCCTCCCCGCCGCCAGAGGGCGCCCTCTGTCCACAGCCGGACCTGCGGCACTTCCCTTTTTTTCTTTTTAATTCATTCTTTCTTAAATAAATAATAATGAAATGTTTTCATTGACTTGAGAGAGGAAGGGAGAGGGAGAAATAGAAACATCAATGACGAGAGAGAATCATGGATCGGCTGCCTCCTGCCCGTCCCACTGGGGATGGAGCCCGCGCCCCATTGAACTGTGACCTCCGGGTTCATAGGTCGAGGCTCACCTGCGCGCTGAGCCTCACCTGCCGCTGGATCTGTGGGCACTTTCCATAGCAGCCCCCCCACCCCCACCCCCCACCCCGGCCCCGGGGCTGCAAACTCCAGAGCCCCAGGAGTGTGTGTGTGGGGGGCGGGCATGAAAGGGGAGCCCGCGGCCCAGGGCAGCGCCTGCAGGTGGGGTGCAGGTGGAGAGAAGCCGGGAGGGGAGCGCTGGCTGGAAGCAGAAGTCCCCCCAGCAAAGCGCTGCTGAGAAGTGGGGGGCAGGGATGGGGGTGATGACGAGGGAGCCCCTGGGATCCGGCAGCCTGCCGGCGGCTGGCTTCGGGAGCAGCTTGGGGGGGAAGCTGTGGCGGAGATGGACGGTGAAGAGGAAGAGAAGAGAGAAACATCTGTGATGCCAGAGAATCATGGGTCTGCTGCCTCCTGCGCCCCCACACTGGGGGTCCAGCCGGAACTGGGCCTGTGCCCCTGCTGGGAATCGAACCTGTGACCTCCTGGTTCCTAGAGGCTCAGCCACGGAGCCAGCCTGGGCACAGCCTCTCCCTGGAGCTGGAGGAGCCGGCTCCCAGGTTCACCTGGAAAATGCGATAAGCATAAACAGCCCAGGAGGCGGGAAAAGAGGAGGGTTCGAGGCCAGCCCTGCAGGGACCAGGCGTGTGCTGAGGCCCAGGCGGTGCCCGTGTGGCCTGGCCCCGAGGGAGGAGGGGACTGAGCCTGAAGGAGAAGTCTGACCACACCCGGGCTGTGACTGAGGGCCGCTCTCCGGCAGCCACGGGGAGAAGGCGCTGCTCGTTCGAAGGAGAAACACGTTAGATCCCTCGGCGGGACCACAGCCAGGGTCAGCGAATGGCGAGAAGCAGAACCGCTGGAGAATGCGAGAAAGGAAGGCGGCCTTTACCACGGGATGGAAACGCCCAGCAGGAAAATGTTGGCAAAAGACACGAGCAAGAATCAAACCCAGACAAAACCCCAGGGACCCGTGGGCACGGGAAAAGCCACCCGCTTCCCTCGCAGGAAGGGAAACGCGCATTAAAATGACACTGCAGCCGGGACCGGTTTGGCTCAATGGATAGAGCGTCGGCTTGGGGACTGAGGGGACCTGGGTTCGATTCCGGTCAAGGGCATGTACCTTGGTTGCGGGCATATCCCCAGTAGGGGGTGTGCGGGAGGCAACTGATCGATGACTCTCTCTCATCGATGTTTCTAACTCTCTATCTCTCTCCCTTCTTCTCTGTACAAAATCAATAAAATATATTTTTAAAAAAATAAAAATAAATAAAATGACACTGCAGGCCTGGCTGGTGTGGCTCGGTGGGCAGAGCACCCGCCGCCTGCGGACTGAAGCGTCCCAGGTTTGATTCCGGCCAAGGGCACAGGCCCAGGTTGTGGGCTCCATCCCCATAGGGGGCGTGCAGAAGGCAGCCGATCCATGATTCGCTCTCGTCATTGATGTTTCTATCTCTCTCCCCCTCCCTTCCTCTCTGAAATCAATAATATATATATATATATTTAAGATACTTGAAAAGTATTTTTTCCCGGAGGAATACTTGCAAGTCGGTGCCCTTGGGAGCACCAGTCGAGGGCTTAGAACGAAGATGAGCCTGGCAGATTGTACCTGCGGATGTCCTTCCCGCCCTCTGCTCGGGGGCACACCGCGGTGGGCACAGCGGGCACGGGTGCAGGGATGTGCGGGGAGCGGCGGGCAGCTGCCGGGACGTCATTGGCACGGAGACACCGCACACAGCTCCCCCCACCCGGTGCCGAAGGGCGCGGGATCAAGGTCATCGGCTGTCGCGCTGCTGACGGCAGCAGAAGCTGGAGCCACAGGCGTCCGTCCCCCAGGAGATGGCGAGCCGGGCCGGGCTGAGGTGCAGCTGCCTCCGGTCCAGGAAGGGAGTGTCTGTGTGCGGGCGGGAAGGTCTCTAACCGCCTTTTACCGGAAAGAAAGCGGCGTGCGGAACACGCCCAAGAATGCCCCCTCCTCTCCTTGCCAGTCCTCACCCGAGGATCTTTCTCCGATCGTTATTATTATTTTTAGAGAGAGAATAGGAGGGAGGAGTCAAGTGAGAGAAACATCGATGTGAGCGAGACATGTTGGTTAGTTGTTTCCTGCACGTTTCCCCCCCACACCCCCACCCCCAGCTCTGACCAGGGCAGGGGACCTAGCCTACTGCCAAGGCACATGCCCTTGGCTGGAATCAAACCCAGACCCTGCAGTCCACCAGCGGACGCTCCATCTGCTGAGCCACACAGGCTGGGGCGGCCTGCCACCTTCCAGGGGTGGCAGTGGGGGAGGCGTTTGCTTGTAGTCACAGCAGGAGACCCTGGGAAATGGCCACACAATGCACAGCCGGGCGACCGAAGACAGGGGCGCCCTGGGCGGGCACAGGGCAGGGAGCGCTCCCCGTGCGTCTTTCCACGGGGAAGAATAGAGAGAAAGCAGTGCTCAGGGGAAGACAGAGAATGCGCACGGATGGGCTCTGGCCGGTGTGGCTCAGTGGGTAGAGCGTGGGCCTGTGGGCGGAAGGGTCCCAGGCCGATGCTCTAACCACTGAGCAAACAGCTAGGTCTGGGAGGTAACTCTCTCCGTGTCCTGTGAGCTGCTCCGGCCAATTAGTCAAACCCAGGAAGGGGTAACAGAGCCACCCCCTCAGCCAGTCACCTGGTCAGAAGCCCAGTGTCAGCCTGGCTATGCGGCTGGCGTGGGGTCGGAGGGGGGTCCTGTCTGGCTGAGCCTCGGCCTGTGGGCTCAGGCACCGTCCCTGGGCGCGTGTCCGAGTGGAGCGGAGTTGGAGGCAACCGGGCGGGTGCAGAATGGCTTGCTGGGTGCGTGGACCCCCCCTCCACACACCTGCACGTACACACATGCCTGCATGCACTCACGCCTGCACGCATGCACACACACACACACATACACACACACATACACACGCCTGCATGCACTCACGAGGGGGAGCTGGGCCGAGCCTGAACCATGAGCCAGGGTGCCTGCCGGAGGCCTGGGAGCGGGTTCTCTTCCACCAGCTTCTGCTCACGTTGCAGAAAAGAAAATCCTGTGAGTCCAATCCGGGAGGTGAGTTGGGGCTCCCTCCCAGTCCTGCCCCCCTCCCCTTTGCCCCCGCCCTCTCTGGGGGACCACACGGTGTGGGGGGGTGGGTGTGCCCCTGCTCAGCCTGGCTGGCCTCTGCACTGCCTTCTGTCCACAGCCAGCCCCCAGCCCCTCCAGCTGCCCTGCCCTCCAGCCAGCTGCCCTGCTCCTGCAGCCACTGCTCGCTCTGCCCGGCCTGTCCCCTTCGCAGTGGCTGCCACCGCTGTGCCCCCCGGGTGGGGTGGCTTTGGGGCCCCTTCTGCCGACTGAGCTTTCTCTGTGGGCTCTGACTGCCCCGCAGGGCCCAGCTGGGAGGGCCAGGTGTGAGTGCCAGGGCCCGTGCCCGCTCAGCCAGGCAGCCTCAGTTTACCAGGCAGCCAAGGGGTCCTCCAGGGAAGGTGCTCAGGCTCCCCTGCCCCAGAGTGGGGCTCCAGCCCTGCGCTGAGTGGGCTCAGCTGGGCACAGCTGGGATGGGGGCCCGGAAGCCCCTCTCCGAGTCAGCCCCTCCCCTCCAGGGGCCCCTTCCCGCCCTCCTCCCCTCCAGGTTGGTATGACAACAGCCTCCTCCCAGTTCGGACCAACTGGGACCGGGCAGGGCCTCCCTGCAGGACGGTGGCTCCGAGGAGCAGGGGGTGCAGGAGGAGGGGCCAGCACCACCCCCAGAGGAAGGTCCGCCTTTGGGGTCAGGATCTGGAGGCCTCGGAGGCTGGTCCACGAATCAGGGGCCTCCGGCACCCACGCAGCCAGGCCTGGCGACCTTGGGGGACCCCTGCCCTTGGGCCAGGCCTGGGCTCGGACACACGTGAGGGGTCTGCCCCCTGCCCCTCTCCGGCCCCTGCAGGTCCGGCCGGCCCATAGGAAAAGGGGCCCAAACCCAAGCCTCTGAGGACCCACCCACCAAGGCAGCTGGGAGACAAGAGAGGTGCAGAGGGAGGGGGAGGGAGGGGAGGGGGGAGGTGGGGGGGCAGGGGGCAGGCGTGTGGTGCTTCTGGAGGGGAGCTCAGGCCCAGGGCTCATGGCTCCTCAGCAAGGCCCCGCCCCCAGGGCAGGGAGCCACCAAGGCCTCCAGGCAGGACCCAGCGGCCACCTGCCCCCAACACAACTGCCTCCCAGGGCACCCAGCCCAGGCTCAGGGCGGGTGGGACAGCCTGGGCGAGGGGCCAGCAGTCTGCAGCCCAGCCGAGCCCACGCCCCTAGGGGTACCCCCCGCCCCCAGCCCAGCCCAAGCCCATGCCCCCAGGGGTACCCCCGCCCCCACACACTGCAGACGCACACACCCCTCCCGGGGTCATCGGAGGTCTCCACGGTGGGCTTTATTGACACGGTCACCACAGACAAGGACGGACGCGGAGACAGGACGGACGCGCAGACGGGCGTGTGTGCAGCCAAACCTCCCGCCAGCGGGTGCCCGGCCCCTCCGGGGTGACCCCACAGCAGGTGCCACCCCAGACACGCCTCCGCCGCACTCCCACACGCCCAACGTCTTACACGTAAACACAAACACAGCTCATCGGCACAGTGAGGGCAGCAGGGGACCGGGGGCCATGGCTGACCCTCAGGGCCCTTCCCGCCCAGAAAGCACCTTTCTCCCTCGGGAACCGGGAACCAGGCCCTGCCCCTCCCCAGCCGCCTCGCTGCTGGCGGGCTAACATGACCACACACACGTACACACACATGTACACCCCATACATGGGCACCCTCCCCACACACACAGGGGAACCGGGTCACGGAGCACGTCACACCCGTGGGCACACACTGGCCTTTCCGCAGGGGAGGGGCTGGGCAGGGCGGTCACCCCGTCCCTGGTCCCCGCCACTAGGCGCCAGCGGAGGCCAGCCACCCGGGGTGCCACACGGGCGCGGGGCCGGCAGGGGGGCGGGCTCTGTCGAGACCGGGAAGACGAATAAATAGGAGGGAGAATAACTTAGAGCTGAGGGGCTGTGGGCTGTGCCTCCACGTCCACCCCAGCAGCACAGCCCGCGGCCCGGGAACCGGAGTCCAGGCGGCTCCACCGCCCGCAGGACGGAGCCTGGGGCTGCAGCCGCCAGGGCCAGGGTCCCAGCAGCAGCAGGTGTCCCGCCAGCAGGCGGGCAGGCAGGGAGGGCGGCCTCAGGCAGCCGCAGACACAGCATCGTCTACAGGGGTGGGGAGGGGCTGGGACCCTGCCCCAGGTGGGCGCAGCCTCGCCACTCTCTGTGCTCTGGAAGTGACCAGCCTCTGGGGGTGAGCAGATGGCCCAGCGGCGGCGGCTGCCGGGAGGCCAGGCCCTGGACCCTGTGCTCCGGCGAGAAGAGGCACGGCCGCAGGGGCCTCGCTGGCAGCTTCTGTAATGGGCATCCTTCGCCACGTGGGGCCCGATGCACAAGGGCCCCCTAAGGAGGCCAGGGGGGACCCCAAGGCAGGGCACATGGACTGCCCCACGTGAGGTGCCCGGGCCAGTTCGGGGTGGGGGGCTTGTGACACCCCCAGACCTGGAAGGAAGGAGCCAGTGTCGCAGACAGGGTACCAGGTGGGCGCAGGGGTCAGCCTCGGGGCCCTTACACAGCACCCAGTGCTGCCCAGGCCCGCGGCGGCGGTTCACGGCGGCGGTCACAGCAGGCCCGCAGCAGCTGGAGCAGTCACGGCGGCCCGGTCACGGCGGCGGTCACGGCAGGCCCGCGGCGGCCCGGTCACGGCGGCAGTCACAGCGGCCGGAGCATCACGGCAGGCCGCCGTGGAACTTGCGCACGTGGCGGTACAGGTCTCCGGACTGCGTGAAGCGGCGCGCGCACGTGCGGCAGGCGTGCGGCTTCTCGCGCGTGTGCACCACGGCGTGGCGGCGCAGGTTGTGCGCGTACTGGAAGCGCTTGCCGCACTGGCCGCACGCGAACGGCTTCTCGCCCGAGTGCGTGCGCTCGTGGCGCCGGAGCGTGTAGGCGCAGGAGAAGGCCTTCCCGCAGAGCGCGCAGGTGGGCGCCAAGCCGGGCGCGGGCCGGGCGTCCCGCTCGCGGAAGTGGGCGCTCAGGTGCCGCTGCAGCGCGTGGGCGCCGGGGAGGGGCTGGCCGCACAGCGGGCAGGTGCCCGGGCGGCCGCCGGGCGCGTCCCCCGCGGCCTCCCGCTCCGGGCCCGGGCCGCCCAGCCCCAGCCCCGCGGGCAGCGGCTCCAGGCCCCCCGCCAGGCGCCGGGCTGCGGGGACGCGGGGGGACTGCGGGAGTCCGGGGGCGCTCAGGGGGCCCACGCCGGCCGGCCCCGACGAGGCCGGGGAGTCCTGCTGGCCCCCCACCGGGGGCCCGGCCCCCCGCTGCCTCGGGCCGCAGGGCGGGGCCTGGAGGACCGCAGGGCGGCCGGGCTCCCGCCTCCGGCCGGGCTTCAGCGACAGGTCCAGGGCGCGGTCCGGCTCCCCCGGGGCCTGCCAGGGAGGGAGCCCGCGCGCCCCCGGGGGGAGGGCGGCCCTGAGCGCGGTCCCGGGGGGCCGGGGCTTGGGGGCGGCGGCGCGGAGCTCGGGGGTCCCGGCGGGCAGGGGCCGGGGCGGCGAGCGCGCGGGCTCGGCGGCGGGCGCGGGGGTCCCCGGGGGCGGGGGCGCGCGGGCCTGGCCCCGGAGGCGGCCCCGGCAGGCGCTGACCACGTCGTCCATGTGCAGGTAGCGGGCGGCGGCCAGCACGTCCTCGACGGGCAGCCCGCGCAGGTCCAGGCGGCCCTCGTACATGAAGTCCAGCAGCCGCGCGAAGGCGGGCGCCGTGACGCCGCCGCCGAGCCGCACGTGGCGGCCGCCGGCCGGCCGGTCGCGGAGGCAGAGGCGGAAGTGGGCGCTGCAGGCGGCCAGCACGGCGCGGTGCGCCGGGAAGCGTGCGGCGCCCACCTGCACGGTGCAGTCGCACAGGAAGCCCAGCGCGCGCTGCTGCCTCAGGCGGCCCAGCAGCCGCCCGCCGTGGCCCGGGAACTCCATGCGGCCGCCCGCATCCCCTGGACGGCCGGCCGGCCGCCGTGAGCGCCCGGCGGCCCCGGCCCCGGCCCGGCCCCGCGCGCCCACCTCCCTCCCCGGCCGGCCGCGGGCAGAGGGGCGCGCCCCGCCCCGGGAGCCGCCCGGCAGGAAAACTCCACCGAAAGTCACCAGGAGCCGCGGCCCGCGGGGCCGGGTCCGGCGCGGGCGGAGGGGCACAGCCGCGGGCCCGCACGCGTCCCCGCCCGGGCGCCCCGAACTTCCTCCGGGCAGCTGCCGCCGCTCCCCCGACGCGGAGTCCGCGCGCCGTCGCCGCCCGGTCCGCGCCTCCAGCTGCCGCCAGATGCCGCCGCCGCCGCCGCCGCCGCCGCCGCCGCGGGCCCCATTTAAGGCGGCGCGGCCGGGGGAGCGGGGAGCGGGGGTCGGGCGGGCGGGGCGGACGGAGCCGGCGCCCGCCCCCCGCGCTCCCCTCGCCGTCCGGAGCGCCCTCCCCGCCCCGCGCCCGCCCGCGCCGCGCGCCCTCCCCAGCGGCCCGGAGCGCGGGGCTGGGGCAGCGCCCGGCGGGGAGGGCGCGGGGCGGGCGGGGCGCCCTCCAACTCGGCCGGCCGGCCCCGCCCGCCCGGAGAGAGCGAAACTCGGGCGGGGCTGGAGGGGGCGGGCCGCGCGGCTTCCCGGAGCGGAGCCGCTGAGGTCACCTCGCCGCCCTTGCCCTGCGCCCCGCCCGCCCGGCCGGCCCGCGTGCCGCCCGCTGGGCGCTGGGTGGGAGGCGGTGCGGGGTGCGGCGGGGAGGGGTCTCTCGCGATACTTGCCGGCTCCCTCTCGGCGCCCCCCCCTCCCGCCCGATGGGTCCCCACCGCGCCCGTCTGCTCAGAGACCCCTCGGAGGACCCGTCCTCCCGTGCGCGCTGGGACTCCGGCCTCCCGCCGCCTCGCGGGAGCCGGCTGTGGGATGGAGGCCGGGGCGCGCAGGGGGTAGTACATTTGGAGAAGCTGACACCCCTGCAGTTGAGAGCCCCTGTGTAAATTAAATGAACCGGGACCCTCTGCAAAGCCCAAGCGGGACTGGACCTTGGAGTCAGAACTCGGGCCTCCTGCTCTCGCAGGGGCCCAGCTCGTGGCCAGGGAAGCTGTGTGCCCAGGCCTGGGGCAGGGCGCGTCGGAGCAGATGGGGGGCGGGGAGCCGATGGCCCTGGACCCAGCGCAGGTGGGAAGGTGTCTGAGGACCCCAAGCTCCACGTACAAGAGCTGGAGGCGTGAGGGGCCACCCAGATCTGCGCCCAGAGAAACAAACACGGTTTGGAGGTGACCTCACTCCGGGGCTGGGGAGTGTTCCCCTATCACCACCCGGGCGTGAGCTCAGGGGCTGCCCACAGCTCAGCCTCACCACCTCCTCCGGGGGAGATGCTCAGGGTGTTACACCCCTCGGGGGCAGCAGGTGGAGAGCCCACGGCCACCCGGCAGGCAGCAAGTGGCTGCACCAGGATTCGGACCCGAAGGCTCCTGCTGAACCCCCACCTGTACCTCCCAGATACAGGGGGGGCAAATATAGGGGAGCCCAGATACAGGGGGGGCCAGATACAGGGGGGGCAGGGAGGTGGGGCGGGGGTGGAGCTGGGGGACCCTCGCTGCCAGGCATGCTGGGCACAGCAGGGACACCCGGGAGCCAGGAGAGCCGCCTGGAGCCGGGCCATGGTCGGGGGGCCCGGTCAGAGGCCCCGGGACCAACGCGAGGATCACAGTCTGGGGAGGAAAAGCACTTTTTACATGAAAAGCATGAGCCCTTGTTCGCCAGAAGCTCACACCTGCCTGGACATCCTTCATTCTCCGCCCTAAACCCGCAGCGTGGGCTTGGCCCCCGTGGCCCCATCCACATCGGGGAGCCCCCTGAAGGGGGCCAGCCCACTGCCCCGCAGCCCCCCTGCCCCAGCGCCTGCAGGGGGCCAGCCCGCTGCCCCGCCGCCCCCTGCCCCCGCGCCTGCAGGGGGCCAGCCCCCTGCCCCGCCGCCCCCCTGCCCCCGCGCCTGCAGGGGCCAGCCCGCTGCCCCACCGCCCCCCGCCCCTGCGCCTGCAGGGGGCCAGCCCGCTGCCCCGCCACCCCTGCCCCCGGGCCTGCAGGGGAGCGGAGTTCAAGTCCCTCCGAGCGACCCAGAGGGGCGGCCCGGGACTGGCCTCCCAACCTCCGCGTGACCTTTAGCTTCCCTGACTCCAGGTCCTGGGCAAAGCCACGGGACTGACGCCTCCCCTGGCCACTCGGGCTCCTCCCCAAAGCCCTCCCGGGGCCCCCCATCCTACCCCTGCCCAGCCCCCTGCCCACGCCCAGCTTCCCACCTCCAGAGCCTGGTGTCCATGCGGGGACAGGGCTCCTGGCACCCAGTGGGGCCGCAGTCACACCTGGAGAATGAGTGCGTCCTGGCGCCTCCATCTCATCTCCGATGCTCTGTGGTGCCCACTGCCCTGCGCACCGTGCTCCCCTGGCTTGGTCCTGAGCCCTGGGAGGCAGGAGGGGGGCCAGCCCCTCGGGGCGCTAGGTGGGCGAGGCCCGGGGCGGGCAGAGTGCTCCCAGGGCCCCTGGCAGAGCCGTGGGGCACGGAGGGGCGTGCAGGCCAGGACACTGCCAGCAGGAGCTGGAGACCAGCCTGGGGGGGATGGGCTAGAGGAGGGATGCAGGGAGAGGGCCTGGGCCTCTGCAGTCACCAGGTCTGAGCTCAGCCCTCTGGCCTCGAGGCGCTGTCCCCGGCAGCCCCCAGATGGCAGCCGAGCTGCCGGTCCCACGGCCCTCGGTGCCGGCCTGCCCAGCAAGGTCTCTGGCGCCGGATGACAGGAGGCAGCAGTGGTGCGGGCAGTGCCGCCCCGGTGGGTGCCGCGGGCCAGGCGGCCATCTGGCCGGGAGCGGCCCTGGGCCCCGCCCCGCAGCTGCTGTGGAGACCAGGGGCCGGTCCAGGCCAGGAGCCCGCGCGGGTGAGGCAGCAGCTGCGGTGACAGGGCCGGCGTCGCCGCTCCCAGGCGAGCAGGCAGCGCTTTTGTTGGGAACATCTGGCCAAGGGACCCCGAGCGGCTGCCGAGTGGCCGGCCGGCGACAGGCTGGGCCGCCCCACCTCCTGTCTGGGGCAGGAAGGGGGTCCTGGGTGGAGGCCCGGGGGGTGAGGGGTGGCTGGCCCTGTCCGCAGGGTGCCCGTCATGGGGCAGGCTCACAGGGCGCGGACAGGACGGGGCGTGGCCCCCAGTGGGATGTGGGGCTCAGAGGGTCCGGTGAGTGAGCCAGGGCACCTGGCCAGGATGCTAGTCCTCCCATCGGCCGCAGGCCCCACATCTTCCACGAGAGGGCGCCCTTCGGGCCCCCAGGCCACTGGCTGCCACCCCTGCCCAGTCTCTTGGCCTCTGCCTCCCCCTGACCTCTCCAAGTGGGGGATGAAACCCCTCCGGGGAGAGTGTGGGTGGGAGGGACCGTCCTGGGTCCAGGAAGGTCTGTGGGGTGAGGGATGGACAGAGTCGGACGTTTGTGGGGTGACCTCAGGCCATGCTTCCCGCTGGGCCCCTGGAGGCAGGGCGCTGCTTGGGGGCACATAGTCAGGCTGGGACAGCCGCATGGATGGGGTGCGGCCAGGGGGGCTGGCGGGACAGCCTGAGGGACCTGGGAGTCCCCTTGCCCAGGAGTGCGTGTCCGCCAGCAGGAGAGACAGTCCCCCCCCCCCCAGCTGTCCGTCCTTCTGTCCGCCCGGAGGCTGGGATTGAGCCTGTTTCCTCTGTGGGAGGGGGGTCGTGGGACTGCCCCTGCCCCTGATGACGGGTCTACACCCCGCGCTGAACTCTGACCCTTGAGGAACAAAAGGCCCCCTCCCCCAGCACACACCCCCGGGAGAGAACGTGGTCTGCCTCCTGCAAAGGGCTGTCCGCAGGCCTCACCCGGGAGGTCAGAGGCGCGTCTGCGGGAGTTAGGGTCCCTCTGCCCGGTCCCTCGGCTGCCCCCTGGCGGCCAGCGGGGCCCAGGGCCAGGGCGGGGGGCGGCAGGGAGGGTCCCGGCGGCCTCAGCCCCGCCCCGGCTCCGGCTCCGGCGTCCGCCCGCCGGGGCACCGGGCCGGGCACGGAGGCCCAGGCCATGCCCCCGCCAGCCCCTGCGCCCCGCCCGGCCCTTTCACCGCGGCCACGTGTCCGGCCTTCCTGGGCGGCCGGTTCCTGGAAGCCCCCGGGGAGGGCCGGGCCGGCGCACAGGCCTCCGGCCCCGGCCGCGCTCCCTCCGTCCGCACTGCGGCAGCCGCCACGCCGCCGCCTCGGCCCCCGCCTCCCCCGCGGCGCCCGGGCGGGTCCCGGGTCTCCCGGGCCATCGCGGCGCGGCCCCTGCCCGGGGGCTGCCCACTGGGGCGCACTCCAGTGTCAAACCAACGCCGGGTACCCCGATGCCCCCGCCCCCCCCCCATACCCCCGCACCCCAACGCCCCCGCCCCCCGCCCCGGGGCAGCAGCCGGGCTCGGCCCGGGGCCGCAGCGCGGAGCCCAGAGCGCCGCTCCCGGAGCAAACAGGGAAACTGAGGCCGGAGGGCGTGGCCGGGCGCACGCGGGTCATCGTGGGCCCCCCCGCCCGGCCCGGCCCGGCCCGGCCCCCGCCCTCCCCCCGGCCGGGGGCGGGGGCGCCGGCGGAGGCGGATGTGGGCGGGCGGCGCGGGGCGGGGCGGCGGACGGAGCGGGCCCAGCGCGCAGCAGGCACCGGGGACGCAGCCGCGGCCGCCACGATCCCGCCGGCGAGGCCCGCCGACAGCGCCCGCCGCCGGCCCGGGCCGCGGGGATGCGGAGCGGCGGGCGCCGGAGGCCGCGGCCCGGCTAGGCCCGCGCCCCGCGGACGCAGCGCCGGTGAGTCCGCCCGGATTTCCTCCCGCGCCGCTTTGTTCCCGGCGGGCGAGGCCGAGCAGGAAGTGCGGGCGCCGGCGGTGCGGCGGGCCGTGCGGGCCCGGGCCCTCCTGACCTTGGCGGCGCCGCGGCCGCGGGCCCGGGCTGGGCGAGGGGCGCGGCCGGGCTGGGGCGCCGGGGCCGGGGCCGCAGCCGCCCGGGGTCCCGGGGCGCAGGGCCTTCGGGAGCGGCTGGCCGGCCGCGGTGCGGGTCCGAGGGGCCCGGAGGGAGACCTCACCCCGCGGGCCAGGTGTCCGGGGCCGGGCAGCCCACACCGGAGGCGCCTCCCGGCCCGCCGCTTCCCGGTGCGGTGGGCGGGGGCTGGGCTGGAGGCAGCTAGGTCTCCCGGGGCGGGGGAGGGGGGCAGATGGCCGGCCCGTGCCCGGGCCGGAGGGACTCCCCGCCCGCCCGCCCGCCCGCCCGGCTCAGGCCCCCGCCCAGCCGGGTCCCAGCAGCCGGGCTCCTGCCCCCCGGCCCAGGGCACAGCCCGCAGCCCCGTGTTCGGGGCAGAGGAAGGGCCTTCGGGCACCTCCTTGAAAAGTTGTGATTTTATAATAACGGCAGGCGCCTGCGGTCACGGCGAAGGCACGGGCGCAGGGGTCCCGGCCCGCGTGCTGAGTGCCCGGCGCTGCGTGTGTCCACAGACGCACACC